ATTTTATAGTGGTAATAATCAAACCTGGCTATAAGGCATTGCCATTTTATAAAATTAGTCTCATTACACCATCTGGGACATGTGAGTTTTATTAAATGAGTGAAGCTGTTGACTCTGTTCATATTCATCAAACCAGGTGTATCTATAAAAAGGTTAACATTAAAAAAATCGGAGAGATGTACTTTGTTTTTACAGATGAATGTACTTTGAAAAGTGAATTAATGGTAACATAATAGCTAAGTAGTGTCTTTTTCCTCTAAAAGCGACGAGGAGTCCTGTAGACTATAGATGTATTGGAGCATAAGCTTTTGTATGTATGTTGTATGGTTTTCCAAGTCTTCAAAAATCTTAGTGTTTTTGTTTAAAATCTGGATTATTTGCAATGGGTGTTGTTATAAAGGGGAAAGAATTGAACTCTAGTTTTATCCCAGACCCACGGAGTAGTATTTTCTAAAAGTTTTATATAATTGTTTTTGGGGGTTGGAAGGATGCAGGCACTTTTTTAAAATTTAATCCATGGTAACCTAGCGCTATATATACAAGCACAATTTTCTTGTTCAACAAAGACTCAGTATTGCCTGGCTTAGAGCACCCAAGATTCACTACTGCTTTGGAGCTTCCTGGCTTGAAAATATCATCTAGTATTTGGAACCCTGATCACTAGGTGTGCATGAGCTATCTGACATAAGCATTTAAGACTTGTTTCTCCTTTGCACACATTTTTCAATGCTGGATGAGCTAGCAAATCAGTTTCTACTCCAGAATTATTTGCAGGAATGTTAACAGCATCTCTAGAGTCTGTAACAAAATCAGTAGTGAGTTGTGTGTGCATGGCTTCAGTTGAAAAATTTGACTCTAAAAATAAGGCTCAGTGCCTTAATATATTAAACAGGCTGTAAAGTGGGGTCATCTGAGTGAGATATTATTAATCTCTCTTTGAGATTTTCTTAACGCCTGCTGCAGCTCATCTTGTCCTACACCTCCAGCAAGGCCGTACAGATGTAACAGGGTTTCCCCTGCAGCTGTTACTCCCAACCACTAGGGGCTGTTGTGGTTTTGGCACTGATAGCAGCAAGTCTCTTCCTTACAGATTGTGCTCCCTATCTAGTGCCCAGCCAGAGCAGGAGAAAGCATATGGAAGGAGGCTGCAACTGGCTGAATTGGCGTGGAGGAGTGGGTGGCAGGGTCATCTTCATCGAGATCACGGTGTGACTGACGAGCTCTCCTGAACTCCTGTTCTTCCATTATGTTCTTTTACCAGCCTTTTTCTCCTTGAGCTGTTAGTTCCCGTTGCAGGCTCTGTTGGCCTGTGGGACTTGTTAGGCTCTCTTCAGTTTCAGGTCTTTTGTCATGTAGGTAATCTCTGCTCATGGAAAACTGCTCCCTCTCTGAAGTATGTCAGGGTGAATCTAGTACAGTGCAGCGCACACTAGTATTTTGTCACTAGTTTTTGTATATGGATGTTGTCGGTAGCACATGACAAGATGGGGCTTATACTCATTTGCTTTAATCAGTGGGACTTAATGGCTATTCCCCTTTTGCCACCCTCTCTATCTCTCTAACCTCAAATGTTTTCCTGAGATTGATATTTCTGTGGGATATCTTAGGCCCTCATGCTGATACCACGTTAAATTCTATCCCATCTTGTGTTTACAACTGATGTGCTGGTTACCTTTTCCAGACTCCTGGAAGAGCTCTGTGACGCTTGAAATGTTCCTTCTACCCACAGAAGTTAGTCCAATAAAATATATTACCTCACCTAAGTAGTCTCTACCCAATTCAGAATATTATTAGCAACGCCACTGGCACAGATCCTGTAGCATAAGTGTGAGGACTGTGAAGATGAAATTGAGTAAGAGAATCTAAGCAGGCTACCAATGAGAGTGTTCTTGAATTACATTATCTTCAAAAACTCATCTAATGTAGGAAGAGAGTGTGAGTTTATCCAGATTAAAAGAAAAATATAGTTCATGTTCTATTTGGTAAACAGATTTGAGGAATCTCCAGGGTGCCAATCAGCCAGGAGAAAAATCATAGAATCAGAGAAGTGAAAGGGACCTCAAGAGATCAAGTCCAGTCCTTGCCCTCACGTCAGGACCAAGCTTTGTCTTGATCATCCCTGACAGGTGTCTATCTCACCTGCTTTTAAATATTTCCAGTGATGGAGAGTTCACAACCTCTCTAGGCAAATTATTCTAGTGTTTAACCACCCTGACAGTTAGGAAGTTTTTCCTGATGTCCAACCTAAATCTCCCTTGCTACAATTTAAGCCCACTGCTTCTTGCCCTATCCTCAGATGCCAAGGAGAACAATTTTTCCCCTTCCTCCTTATAATACTTGAAAACCACTATCATTTCCCCTGTCAGTCTTCTCTTTTCTAAACTAAACAAGCCCAGTTCTTTCAGTCTTCCCTCATAGGTCAGATTTTCTAGACCTTTAATAATTTTTGTTGCACTTCTCTGGACCTTCTCCAATTTCTCCACATCTTTCTTGAAAAGTGGTGCCCAGAACTGGACAATACTCAAATTGAGGCCTAATCAGCACTCAGTAGAGCAGAAGAATGACTTCTCATATCTTGCTTACAACACTCCTGTTAATGCAGCCCAGAATCATGTTTGCTTGATGCAACACTGTCACACTGTTGACTCATGTTTAACTTGTCCACTATGACCCCTTAATCCCTTCCTGCAGTACTCCTTCCTATATAGTCACTTCCTATTCTGTATTTGTGAAACAGATTGTTCCTTCCTAGGGGGAGTACTTTGCATTTGTCCTTATTAAACTTTATGCTATTTACCTCAGACCATTTCTCTAGTTTGTCTAGATCATTTTGAATTTTGACCCTACACCTCCCATCTTGGTATAATCTGCAAATTTAATAATCTTACTCTCTATGCCGTCATCTAACTCTTAGGGCTCATCTAAATTACGCTAGTGTGTCAAAAGAGGATATGCAAATTCCAACGGAATATGCATATCTTCTTTGGATCTCACTTTCGAAAGCTTTGCTTTGCTTTGCTTTCGAAAGTGAAAGTAATTTAGACATGGCTTTTTTCGGTGAACCCCTGCCCGCAAAAGCCGCTCGTCCTCCAAAAATGAGGTTTATACATTTTTTTTGATGGGGGGGGGAGGAGGGAGGTTCGCTGAAAGTCGCATCTAAACTACTTTCACTTTCAAAAGCTCTGCTTTCGGAAGTGAGATCAGAAGAAGATATGCAAATTCTAATGGAATTTGGATATCCTGTTTCGATACTCTAGCGTAGTCTCAATGAGCCCCACGGCTTCTCTCAATTTTTCATAGTAATCTGATGTATGCTTTCTTATCTCCTCCCCTCTGTCCATTTTCTTTCCTCACCCAACCAGTTGTATTCTCCAACCTAGTCTGTTTTTCACGACACACTGTGTTTCTCCAGTTTGCTGTTTCTTGCCATTGTTTACAGTAGGCCACTCATCTTTCTGCTACCTATGCTGAAGCAGAATAAGGGGACTTGACCTTCCTTTCCTCAATCTGCTTGGCAGCAGAATTGGGAATGGAAAGTTTGTGATTGTGCAGCTTGTCCTCTGAGGTAAAAATTTGTTATTTTCCCCTATGGTGGTTCAGCAAAGGTTGATGATGGTAATTATAGAATGCTGTTTCTTATTGCCTTAATACAAGGGAGCAAAACATCAGTCACTTAAGAAAGCAAGTTGGTGGTATCACAATAACATCAGATTTACCTGATTTAAATGGAATGTAATAAGACATGTTTGGTGTTTCAGAGCAGCAGTTGGAGTTCCTGAAAGCCAACCATTGTAGCAAGAAAATATTTGCAAAACATTTTCTCAATCCCCAGACTCAGGGCGTTTAATTTTAAATTACAAATGATACAGCAGTTAGGCTGAAATTGTTACCCACATTGGTGACATTGCTTGGTAAAAGAAAATCTTATTCTAATTGTTGCACTTCTGTATGTGTGATATTTCTCCTACATTCTTCAGACTTTACACCTTTGTGAATGGGCTAGCTTCACACTGCTGTTGATGTATTGCAGAAGTACTTCTGCAGAATTCTGCAGGGGAAAAGGGCCCAATGATAAGATTTCCTTATTATCAAGGACTGTAGTATGACATTTCAGTAAAATTATAGGAGTATCTTTTTTACCAAATTGACACTTTTATTTAATGTAATTACGTACATTTTGTGATTTAAAATTATCCATGAATATCTTTTGAAAGGCATTCTCTTTCTGCCGACAGTCTTACATTTAAAAAAAAAAAAAGTTTTTTGCAATGTTAAAAGGAGACTGTTATGGTCAAATTTGGCCCCACATTTAGATTTTGTAAATACTAATAAAAACTAGAACCAATAACATTCTTTCTAACATTTGAAAGAGAAACTGACTAAAATTTGAACATTAACTAAAGAAAACCTTTGGTAATCCATTTTCGTTATCCACATTGAAAAAATAATTAAACTGAATTTTCACTAGTCATACTATTTATTTGCATTTTTACAGTTTTAGAATTTAGATCCTTATTCTGCAGTTGAGATACTTGTGAGCTGCTCTGACTTCTCATTGTATGAGCTGACCCCTATGATACTTTAAAATATGGAGTGAAATCCTTGCCAATGGAAGACTATTGTAGACTTAAGTAGGGGATATAATTTCAACCACAGTTCTTTACAGAAGTGTTCCCTTTAAAAATGGCGATTACATAAAAAATACGCTTGTTCTGTGTGCTTTAGAATTTAACATAAGTGAACCTTACGTGTGTGTATGTATTGACTGAAAACAAAATGAATTTAAGCTGCAGTTGTGTAATATCTTTAAATGACTGTTGCTGCATATCAGTTTGTTTGAGATACTATCTGTGTTTTCAGAGCATTGTAAATATTTCCTAACATTGTTTTTGAGCATTTTAAATAATTCTGTTGAATTGAAATGTTTTATTTAGTCTGTAGAAAATTACTTGCTATGAGAGGATGATTCAGCTGATCATTAACTATATTTTCTGTTGCAGTTTGTAAATCAGTGATGTCCCAGAACTGACCACATTCATCACAGTAAGTGTGCAACATCAATTATCTTTCTGATAATGTTCTAAGAAGCATGAGTCATATTAGGGACCTGGGATAATGCTGTTTACAGTTTATCTACGTTTGAGTTGATGGTTGTATAATCATTCAAGTATAAGGCCAAATTCTGCTCATAAGTACCTTTACTGATGCTTGGGCTAAGCATATGGGCAATCCTCTCAATAGGACTAAAAGTCTAAAGGGCTTAAAAGTAGGCATGTGCTTATGTACTTATCTGAATAGGTTCCTAAATATTTAGTAACTGCATTGAAACTGAAATTGAAAGAATTTGTCTTGGATAATTGTCCATGATCATTCAAATCTACAATAAAATCTGAACTGCACAGTAGAACTTGAGTATGAACTCACCACAGCTATTCTTCACGCCTCTTACTTTTCACACACAAATGATGGCCCTTGTGATTTTCCAGCAAAGCTGTACCCTGAGAGTTATATTCAGATTTTGTATTATTATGGTTCACTTACTGTATTTGCAGTTCACAAAATTCATTAAATCACATTGCATATCATAGTCTGTAATACAAATTAGCGAAATAATTCAAATGACTGGTTTTTTTTCAAAAGACTTATTTATTGAGAGAGCAGATCTGTTATTGTTCTACATGCCTAAAATTCAAAGGCACAATTAGGAATGAGAACGAGTAGTTGAGTACTCAACTACCTGATAAGCCTAAGCTTACTGAGTAGTCAAGTTGAGTACTCAACTATTCACTTTCTTCCATCCCTGTGTCCAAGGAATGCATCTACATTTCCAGAACAGTTTCCGAAAGAGCGGGCATGTTTTTTCGGCATCCCTGTATTCCTCATTGTATATGAGAGAAGGGATGTTCCAAAAGAGGAGGTTTTTCTGAAATTTGGCACTGTGTAAATGGACCAAATTTCGGAAAAGCCTCATCTGGGGAAAAAAAAAAAAAGCTGAAAATAACCAATTTGCTAATCTTTTCCCAACTTTTCTTTGCAGTCTAGACATAGCCTAAGACATCCAAGTAATATTTTAACTGCTAAATCAATTGTAATAACTTAATTTTAATAACTTTGACATTTAAATTTTGTTTGAATAATGAATACTGATAGAACAATGGTGATATTTTGTTGCTTATTGATAATATATTTTCCTGCATTAAAACAAGTCAGTTTATGGGATTAGCCCTAATGGAAGTGAAGAATTTTGCAGTTAGTTGAGTTTAATTTATTTTACGGATACCCGAAGCATACCTTTAAAAACTGCTTCTATCTGATTTTAATAGTTTGCTAGTAACTAAATAATCATGCATTGAAATAGTATGGGAGAATAAGTAAAAAAGTTAGTTTGTCTATTTATAGTTTCAAAGTTTATCTTCACTTTCTACTTGTGAGGAGCAGAAAATTACTTTCAGACAGAGATTTGAAATAACTTTATAATTTAATTGTAATTCCTTCAGATTACTCATCCATTCATTTTCTGTCTCCAGTACATGAAGATAAAGATAGACATTTATTCTATACAGAAATATTTTAACACTGTGTGTCAAATGATAGTATGTTGACAAACAAGCAGGGATGTGAAAGGTTAACTGGTAAGCATCACCCTTAAAAGATGATGCTTACAGGTTCCAGTTAACTAGTAGCAAGTGGAACAGCTTCCTGCTCACTGAAGGAGGCTGCTGCAGCCTTGCAGGACCCATGATAGACAGGAGTGCTCCAGCCTGGCCAGAACAGCTCCTGTCCACAGCAGGCTGGCTCTGGTACCCTCAGCTGCCCTGCCTTTAATCAGTTAACCAATTAAACACCACATTTAAGCAGTTAACCAATTAAGTGGGATTTTACAAGAGCCTCTCTTGGGTGCCCAGGCTGTATTGTAAAATATTCAATCTTGTATTTTACTAGTGACCTTCATGTCTACATCCCAGAGGTGCTGTACAATCAGTAATGTTAAAACTAGAACTGGTAGGACAAAAAATTGCTAAAACAATCATTTTAAGAATGCTGACTAATAGAAATATTTTGAGTGTTAGATTTAAAGTCCCAAGAGTATTTTCTTAAACTGGCAATGTGTTCGAAGGCAGAAAATGAAGGTATTAAAGGCTGTGTGTGTTATATCAAATAATATTTAGGAATGGTAAGACCACCGATATCTGTTGATTTCAATTAATGTTCAGATTCATACGGAGAAAGCAGATCTAGTCAGTAGAAGGAATACGTTATTTAAAGGTTGAAAACCATTTTAGAGTGGCTACATTACTTAGCAGGCAGCAAGTGATGTGCTAGTGAAACAGGAGACAGATAATTTAACCTACTATATACCAATAAATTAGAAACAGCACCACTCCTCTCAGGTGTCCAGGAATGGAGTCTTTGTAGTTGGTTTCAGAGTCAAAGTCATATGGCTCTTTCAGAAGCTGGCACAGTTACCCCAATTGGCAGTATCCTTCCATGAATCTGGACCAATTTATCTCACCCATGGCATCACAATAGCAAGGAACTCCTGACATTCTTATGCCATGTAGCTTCATGCCCCTATGTGGTGCAATATGGGAGTCTTCGACTCTGACCACTCCAGGTGTGGTTGGTGTCCATACTTTCGCCAAATTGACACCATTTCGATATAGTTATCACAGATTCCTGGTTGGTGATTGCCTCTCTCAACTGAGTTAGACTCACTGGTAGTGAGCACAGGATTGCAACGATCAGTGTATCTCGTCACGGATATTTCAGTGATAGGATGGTGTGCTCACTTGGGTTCTATCAGAACTCAGGACTTTGGAAGAGCTTTCACTGCACATAGATGTCAAGGTGGTTGCTTGGCTTGCCAGGTGTTCCACCCCCATGTGGTGGGTAAGAATGTGTCTGTTACTTTTTGAGTGTTGCTCATGTCCATAATAGGTGTGCATGCTCGCTACACGCACCAGTGCCAGATGTTTTTCCCTTAGCTGTTGTTTCTCCCTGTTGTTAGTTTTTCAGTACTGAGTTAACCTGTAGTGTTGTGAAATTTAGTTGGTTCCCTTAAGGACCTAGCCTCAATCAGGGCATGCCCAGTTCTTCAGGTTTTAATCCTTGCAAATCCTGCAAATGTTCCATGGTGAGTCCCAAATCAGCAACAGGTACAAAATCTGTAAGTCTTTTAAGCCAGTCTTTTAAGAAGGACGGGGGCATTTGACTTACAGCGTTCCTCATGAATTCAGCTCTTAACTCCAACATTGGTGTGCTGCTCAGATTTGGCACTGGCCACCACCAGGTCAATGTGTGGTGGTCAGTCGAGATAGTTGACTAGTCAGTACCACTCCGTCGATCCGGCACCGGTCAAGAAATGGAGGAAGATGGCACAGGGACATTCACCAGATAGTGTAAAAGAGGAGACGAGATAGAAGAGCACAGATCCACATGGGGCGGCTCTCAGTTTCCACTGAACTCACGGGGCCCGACTCAGGCAGAGCAGAATACTTTGGCGTGTTCTGTTACCCCTTCGCCCAACAGTGGAACTTTGAGTCACATCCAGGTGCCCTACATGCTTGAGGCCTTGCAAACTGCACAGGACATACTGTCATTGCCAGTACCCACATCCCAGTCCTCTGTGACTCCACACTTCAGGGAAAACCTGCACTAGTTATAGCGGCATCCCCTCAGGGAAGTGTCCAGATGTTTCAGGGAAGTGTCCAGAGGGTGCCTCTCATCAGCCCTCAATTACAGGGACCCTTCTAGAGATGGGCAGATCCTTCTGAGCCCCTTCGGGCTTTTGGGACATCGGGTCACCCCAGTTTGGATTCATGGCTCTGATAGCCAGAAGTGAATTACCAGGAAAAATACTTGTTTTTCCTTTGTTACTGGGAAGCTATTGTTTTACATGGATTTATAATCTAGTAAATTAGTGAGCTGAAGAACATAAGTATCATCAGGGCTCGACAAATACACTTGCCCGTGGAGAGTAGATTTTACCAGCTGGCGAGTGCAGGGGCGGACTGGCCTGGTGGGCCATTGTGATGGGCTGGCTGAAGCCCATACTACTGGTGGCGTGGCCCCATCCAATCTGCCAGCTGGCGGAGGAGCAAAGCACCGCTGAGGGGGGGGAAGTGCGGCGATTCCTGCCACTGGGGTGCGTGCGTTAGTTCCTGCGCGAGGAGGCGGGGCGCGAGCCAGAGGGCGGGACGCTGGCAGGACGTGGCCCTGCCGATTTTAAAGGGCTGTGGCAGCTCAGCTCTGGCCACATGTCACTGGGAGCTGGCTGCGGCGCACGGTGCAGCCAGGTCCCACCCCGCGCTGCCCCGCCGGCTCCAGTCCTGCCACGGCTCCAGCCCCCTCACCAGGGAGAGACCGCTCCTTGTCAACTGCCCAGCTTGCTGCGCCCCCTCGTGCCCCTTTGTCTCCACGCCGCCCCTGCTTCCCGGACCGCCTGCTCTCCCTCTTCTTTACAACTCTCTAGCTCTGCTCTGCCTTTGCATCCCGTACCCTGCTCTCCCCATCCCTGCTCCCCCAGCTCTGTGCTGCCCATTCCTTGCACTGCTCCTAGACCCCGATCCCTCTGCCCCTCCCGTTCCCTGTGCCTCCACCACACGAAAAATATGGGGAAGGGGCTTGTGCGGAGGGGAGGAGGTCAAGAGAAGACGACGACGAAAGGGGAAGGCACCAAGGGATAGGGATGCAGGAGAGACAAATCCCAGGGGGCCAAGTGCAGACAATGAGGAAAAGGGCAGGAGGGGAGGTGTCACTGGGAGGAGGGAACAGGGTGATGCTGGGAGAGGAGAGGGTAAGGGCACCGGGGACTAGAGGAGGGAGGAGGAGGTGCTGGGAGAAGGCTTGAAAGAAGGGGTAGGCATGAGGAAGGCAGTAAATGGAGCAAGGCATGTGTAAGGGCACAGAGGCATAAGGGGAACTGGGGCAGAGGATGGTGAGGGGGTGGGTATCAGGGAAAAAGAGGGCAAAGGGGATAGGGACAGTGAGGGAAGGGGGAGGCATCAGGAGGGTGCAGGTGCGAGGAGATTCTGGGGGTGAAG